AGACTGCTGAAAAGGTACAATTTCAACTCCAAAATAACTTCTCCTCTAAAGTAACATACTATCAGGCTAATAACATGTGTCACTGACCCCCTGCACTAAAAACGCCTTAGGCATCCTGTGGCTAAGGCTTCTTCCACCATCTCCTGCTGATCTTGTAGCTGGTTGACAGTGTTCTGTCACAGTGGCAGCATTACTTGCTCAGGAACTCATTTCCTGCTCCAGTCCCATCTGGGTCATTTCTTATAACATGTGACGATTACTTCTTAGCACATTAAGGGATACCCACCCTCCAGTGCATAGTAGATGTAGCACTTCAGAAATAATATTCTTTAATGAAAATGTCAATAACTTTTTAAAATAAAAAAAAAGCCTTGGCACTAACCCTTTTGGCTGTCTCTGCTGTCCTGAAAGTTATAAAAATGCACAGCTTCTCCCTCCTCTCTCCTCTGCTTATATTTCAAGTCACTAGTAGAGACGGAAAACTTAAACTGCAGTAGGGTCTATCTCACTTTCTATTTTAACAACCAGAAAGAAGTAAATAACTTGTTTCTATTCTCCCCACTAAATAGTTACTCCCCTCCTTGATATTTCCTCAATTCCACAGAAGCCAACGGGGGCCTTCTACTTATTTCCTCAAGGCTGCCCTTTGGCTTTCACTAGGCTCAGTATTTTTGTACCATACCAAATCCTTTTTTTCTGGTTTTCTTCTTTCTTTCTTTCTTTCTTTTTTTTAAGATTTTATTTATTTATTTGACAGAGAGAGAGCACAAGCAGGCAGAGCCGCAGGCAGAGGGAGAGGGAGACAAGCAGACTCCCTACTGAGCAGGGAGCCCAATGTGGGCCTTGATCCCAGCACCGGGATCATGACCTAAGCTGAAGGCAGACGCTTAACCGACTAGAGCCACCCAGGCGCTCCTTTTTCTGGTTTTCTAATTACAAAAAGGAAGGTACATGCTCATTGCAGAGAAGTATAAGGAAAATTATAATCATCCATCATCTCTCTATTGACAAATAGCTGCTATCGTTAATGTTTTCGTATTTTTCTGCTAGTCTTTTCTGGCACATATTTTAATGTAGTTGAGGTCAGGGAAAAGGAAGCACTAACTGGTTAACTCTCTTGCTTGTTACAAGGTCTGGTGGTTGAGGAAGCTGGAATAACCAGCTCCAAGAGGCGGTAGATGGTGGGAAGAGGCCTAAACCCCCTGATCTGAGTTGAAGTAAACAGATTTGGGTACGAGTCTTGGCTTTACCACCTAACTGGACACTAAACTTTGGGTAAGTCATATAACCTTCTCTCAGCCTTACCTGTAAAATGGAGTTAAGATATTCCATTTTAAGTAGTTAAAACCTTTAACTACTTATTCCATAGCAGGTTGGGAGATTTAAGGAGAATATAATACTTGTGAAAATGCACTAAAAATAGCTAAATGTTATTTAAAAAAAAATCAGTTCATATGTCTGTACAATTTCTGCCCCCCAAAACAAAGATAAGTGCTGGCAGTTGCATCTTTTCATCACTGGAGCCAAAAGAAGCATGGCAAGATTACCCACTTCTTCACAAATCTGAGCCACAGACAAAATTACAAGCACACTAAAATTAAATGGGAAAAGTACCAACAAATGACAAGAGATGAGTTAACATAAGCCTTGCTTAAAGCTATTTTGAGAATGCTTCCTTATAGTCATCTCAGGACAAATCTCTCCATAACAGATTGGGTCTAGACTTCCTCCAGCTCCCTGAAGCCTGGAAGGGTATGGTGATGCCTTCTGGATAAGAGTATATCTATAAGAATGGACAAAAAGATGAAGTGAACTGATACACGTTTCTAGACTTTTCCTTAAAGAGACAGGGCAAGCCACAGAGGTGATGGGGTCAGCACAGTGGAAAGGCCTAAGGGATTAGGATAGGACAGACCCGGTTTCAGTCCTGACTCTGCCACATACTGACTGGGCAAGTCAGTTTTTCAGTCAGATTTTCATCTTCTAAGTTAGGAATAATACTATGTACTTCAAAGGGATACTCTTTTGATTTAAAAGAGAGAAGGTAACAGCTGGCATATAAGAGTGCTTAATAAATATAAATAATAGTAGGCTAGGCCAAAAAAACTCCTCCCAAACAAAAAACTTCAAGACTTCTACGCCTATTCAAATCTGGAGGTCTATCCCCTATAGTAGTGGTTCTCAAATGGGAGACTCTGCCCCCAGGGGGCATTTGACCATGTCTGGAGACATTTTTGGTTATCACCACTGAGAGATGCTGGCATCTAGTGGATAGAGACCCAGGATGCTGCTAAACATCCTACAACATGCACAACGGTCCCCCACAACAATCATCCAGCCCAAAACATTAACAGTGCCAAGACTGAGAAGTCCTGCCCCACAGCAAGCATTCTCTGATACTCAATCTGAGTAAGCTACTTCACCTTTCTCATCCTTAGTTTTCTCACCAGCAGTATGGGAACAAACTGATCTGTGCTCCCTATTACCACCAGGGTACTGGGGGGATCAAATAAAATAACTGATGAAGGGCATTACCATCATACCTTTCACAATGAATGCAGAAGCACACACTTGCTGGGCAAAGACAGAAACACTCATGTAGTGGGGCAGGGGGACTTATAGGGGGTGGAACTCTTTGTTTGAGAATGCCATCATCCAAAGAGGGCCTCTTGCCAATCTTCTGCAAAGCTGGGCTGGAGCAGGGGAGCTCTCACGAATAGTGAGGGGATAGGAACATGTCTCAGGGAGAGAGAGGGAGCGTGGGAAGTGGGCAGGAACAGCACAGGCCTATCAAAGAGGAGCTAACAGATGTTAGGAAGTGAGATATTGATTGCTTGGTGTCTTAGACTGCTTGGGATGCCTGAGAGGCTTAAACAAGAGAAATTTATTTTCTGACAGTTCTGGAGGCTGGAAGTCCAAGATCAAGATTCCAGCAGGGTTTGGTTTCTGGTGAGAGCTCTATTCCTGGCTTGCAGATGGCTACCACCTTGCTGTGTCCTCACATGGCGGGGGGGGCGGGCGGGAAGGGGCACAGTGTGAGAGAACGAGATCTCTCTTCCTCTTACAAGGCCACCAATTCTATTGGATTCACACTCCAATTCCACCCTATGACTTAATTTAACCTTAATCACCTCCTAAGGGCCCTATCTCCAATATAGTCACATAGGGGGTGAGGGCTTCAACATGTGAGTTTGGGGAGAGGAGAGGTGCACAAATTCCATCCACAGCACTTGGGCACACTTCAGACGCAGCCAAGGCATCACTGTGGCCTCAGAAAGGAGGACCCAGGAGTTAATTCACTGCTTTTCTATCATCACATTCATTCAATCTTTCCTTTTCCAGCTGTCTTTTCTATGAGATACACGGTCAATTAACTCCTGCAGCTCTTTCATGTAGGCCTACTCAGGCATCCTGTGAATTTCCAGGATCTAGGAAGGATCTTCCTCCTATTTGTGCCCCAGTCCTCAAATATCAGGTCACGGGTTTCCAACAATGACTAACCAGTCACTTGAGGCATGGTTCTCAACTTCGGAATTTTTTAAAAAAGGCTCAACCATACCCCAGACCAATTTAGTCAGAAACTTTTTGGAGAACCAAAAAATTGCTGGTGATTTTTAAATCTCCCCAAGTAATTCCAAAAAGCAGCTAAAGTTGAGGACCACTGATCACAGAAAGGTATGTGTGTGCCTGTCCCCCTCCCCTCACATTCCAATTTAGTTGGTCTACAGTGGGACCCAATATTCTGTATTTTTAAACAATTATCCAGCTGATTCTGATGATCAGCCAGGTTTAGGATGGATTACTACCTTCCTGAAGCTAAACTGCTTACTCCCACCTGTAACTATTCATTTCTGTGGCTATACATAAGCTCTACAGATGCAGATTTTATTTCCTTCCTCCTTGTGGCACATCATTTTGGGGACAGCCCTTCACATGCACCAAAGACAATAAAGAAGGAGAGGGTTTTCTGAAAACATGAGGGAAAGCAGCAGGAAAAACCAAATGGGGGCTTAAAAAAGTGTGTGCAGCTTGACGAGGGAGAAAGCAAAAACTAGTGCAGGATAAAAGGAAAGGGTGGGAATGTAGGTGGAGAGATGAGGTCACAGGAATGAAACCAAGACTGGCAGGATTCAATAGCAAATTAATAAATACACAGTTAAGTCAAAAGCCCCAAAAGTTATAGATGCGCCTTTGGGCAAAAAAAGATACGGGCAACAGTATCTTCTGGTGTAGTACCCCCATCCCAACCTCATCCATCTTTACTCTTACTTTTTATCAATACTTTTCTCAGGGAAGAATGCCACAGGCTCATTCACACCAAGCTATAAGAGTATTTTAATAGGGGCAATGACAATAAACGAAAAGCAAAGGGTAGAAAAGAGGGAATTTCAGGCACATTTACTGAATGGGGAGGGACAGGAGAGAGGTCTTAGCTTTTTGGTAACTCCTACCATCACACCACTCTCTACTCCCTGAATCCTGGTGGCTGTGAACTATGCGGCTCACTGTTCTCTAACACTAACATAAAAATGGGGCGTATTACCGATATCCACACATCCCGATGAAAACCTCAAAGCTGACAGAAAGGTTACATCACAGACTTGACAAACTTTAGGGAAAGTGTTGCAGCCTATATACATCACCAGCCATGGATGTTCATTCTCCTTATAGAAACAGAAAGTCAAGACACTTGGGTTCTAAGTGAAACCTTTCTCTCATCCTAACTCTGTCATATTATTTTTTCCTTTAACGTCTCTATCAGTAAAACAGGAAAAATCTCAAGAATAACCTGACTGGATCTGGCCCATGGAAACAAAAGTAGGAGGAAAGAAAAAAGGAAGGAAAGACATCAAAGTGTTAGGAAACATATTTTTTAAAGTATTTCCTCCATAGAAAAGCTGAGTATGTTTTGAATTAGTTACTATTCAGAAAATAGAGAAAATGAACTAATCACAGAAGAAAAGACATACATAGTTTAGTGAAAACAGTGTAGTCTTTACCTTATCATTTAGAAGTGGTTTGATCTCTGTGAGTTGAACATCCTGAAGTTCATCCATGAGGATAGATGAGAGTAGAGGATTCTCAAGAATAAATCAGTAACTCTGAAAGAGAAGAAAACGAAGTAAAGAAAGAGGCTTAAACTTGAAGCTGAAAACATAATAGTCACACTATGTCCATTCATTCAAATACTAGAGCTTAGTATATGTCATGCACTGCTCAGGATGCTGAAGACGAAGGAAACTAAACAGTCATGGCAGACAGACTTTAAAATGATCTCTGCCTCCTATTCACACCCTTCCATTATCCCCCTCCCCACCACTGAGGGTGGGTGAGACCCCTGGCTTGCTTGTAACCAAAATGGCAACTGATGGTATGTACAGGAGTACCTGTACATGATGATATTATATAATATTTTAACATCTGTCTTGCTGAAAAACACACTTTCCTTTGCTAGATTTGAAGAAGCTGGCATGTTGTGAGAGGGCCACATGGCAAGGAACTGAGGACAGCCTCCAGCCAAAAGAGTTAAGAAACTAAGACCCTCAGTCTAACTTGTAAAAACTGATTGCTGCCAACAACCATATGAGCCTGGAAGTGGATCACTCCCCAATCAAAACGTCAGATGAGAAAACAGCCCTGACCAACACCTTCACTGCAGACTTGCAGAGGACCCGGGTCAACCCATGCCAGATTCCCAACCCCAAGATACTGTCAGATAATAAATGTGTGTTGTGTCTTGTTTTAAGTCAGTAAGTTTGTGGTAGTACTTCCTTTTTTTCTTTGTAGCAACAGATAATTAATACAATAGTCTTTGCCCTTCTGGAGTGTCCAGTTTAGTTACTGAAGATGTATAACTAAGAGAACAACACACTCAATGCTATGCTTCAGGAAACAACAGTTTGGGGGATGGATTAAGAGGGAAACAAAAATTGAAGGCTAATGCTAGGATGAGGCCCTGACTAAGGAATGAGAATTAAGGGGCAGATGAACCAAGGCTAAACTCATCATTCACTTAGGGAATCAGAACAGTGGATGGAGAGTATGAGAGCCAGCTTCCAAGATGGCCTCCAAACAACCCAATGATCCTTGACTCCTGATATTTGCAGTCATGTAGTCTCCAATCCAAATAAATCAGGGATGGTGTGTAACATAATAAAATATGGCAGAGGCAGCAATATAAGGCTTCTGAGGCTGCGTCATAAATGGCATAGCTTCTGCTTCAAGACATTACAGTCTTCATTCATTAGTTCTGGGGGAAGCCAGCTATGGTATTGTGAGGACATTCACACAATCCTCTGGGGAGGCCCATGCCAAGAGGAACCATCTTGCCAGTACCAACCCGTGAGCCATGTGAGTGAGCTACCTTGCACATGGATCTTCCAGCCCCAGTCAAGACTTCAGATGACTGTAGCACCAGAGATACCTGACTGCAACCACATTGGAGACCCTAAGCCTGAACCACCCTACCAAGCCACCACCTGAATTCCTGACCCACGGAAAGTATGAATAGTAATAATTATTCTGTTTTGGAGTGATTTCTTATATAGCAAAAAATAACTAACACAGAGACAGAGAAGACAGGAAAACACTTCTAGGAGAAGAAAGTAGTTGGAGAGGAGGAGACAGGGTAATGAGTCATAAATCCTTACTCCATCCCACTGGACAGGGAGTCATGGGGAAAGGCTGCAAATATTGGATATTGCCAGTATTTCCATCCAGACTTTAAAGCCCCAGGCTTCCTCCCCTCTGCCTTGGCCATGAACTCATCAGTCCAGAAAAATGCTAATTCAGTGAGTTGGGGATGTAGTTATTACCACTTACTGAGTACCCAGTGTGCAAAGCATTATGGAGGATAAAAAAAAGATCCCTGCTTTCCAGGAGCTTACTAGAGTAGAGATGACAGCTATCTATAAAACTAACTACAAAATGAGAAGTAAATAGAAGGGGCATAATAGTTCAAAGAAGGAATAATTACTTTTGATTGTGAGAATCACAAAAGCCTTCATAAAATATTAGCCTACTGTATTAATTCATTTTTCTGTTTTTCCCTCCAGACATAGGATTACATGGCTTTGATTTACTTAGCTATGGAGAGGGTATGGAGTCTAGGCTACCTTTTAGCTATTACTGACAAATACATCAAAATAAACTCTGCTTCCAACTGTGACTACTTTAGAACAGACTAACAAAGGCCCTTTTATCATTCCTTCTAAGAACCCAGAGGATGCCAGTCAGGAACACTCCTCAAACTATGGACCCCACAGGCCAATCACAAGCATCCCAAACATCTGTGCCACTTAACAGAGCACAAGCTTGATGATATTTAACCTCCAATAGAACATGGTTCTTTTTCTCAGCTCCCAGGCAACCTATAAACTTAATTGAGCTACTGAATGACCAGAAGCTGAGTTTTTGTTTTGTTTCTATACCACGTACATTTCTTTTTTCTTTTTTTTTAAGGATTTTATTTATTTGACAGAGACACAGCGGGAGAGGGAACACAAGCAGGGGGAGTGGGAGAGGGAGAAGCAGGCTTCCGGCGGAGCAGGGAGCCCGACGCGGGGCTCGATCCCAGGACCCTAGGATCATGACCTGAGCCGAAGGCAGACACTTAATGACAGAGCCACCCAGGCGCCCCGTACATTTCTTTTTTTAAAAAAAGATTTTATTTATTTACTTGACAGAGAGGGAGAGCACAAGCAGGGGGAGCAGCAGGAGAGGGAGAAACAGGCTCCCTGCTGAGCAAGGAGGCCGCGGGACTCGATCCCAGGACCCTGGGACCATGACCTGAGCTGAAGGCAGACACTTAACCGACTGAGCCACCCAGGCACCCCTACCACGTACATTTCATAAGGGGATGAGGTGACTTGAATCTTTCATCACAAATCTCGGCTGGCATTTGCAATTCTCTTTTACAATACCACTTTGACCCAATTAACCCAAAATATTGGCCTAACTGGGATCTATACTCGTTGTGTGTTTATTTTTATTTTTAAAGATTTATTTATTTATTTTGAGAGAGAGAGAAAGCGCGTGCACAAGCAGTAGGGGCAGGGAGAGGGAAAGGGAATCTCAAACAGACTTCATGCTGAGTTCAGAGCCCCACTCAGGGGCTCCATCTCATGACCCTGAGATTGCAACCTGAGCTGAAACCAAGAGTCTGATGCTTAACCAACTAAGCCACCCGGGCATCCCTCGTTATGTGTTTATTAATCACACTATAAACTGTGGCTACTTTTCATTTGGATGTCACTGCTTATCAGTAATTTAAAATGGCAATTTTAAAGTTCTTTTTCCTATTATAAAGATAGTACATGTTCACTTTAGAAAATGTGAAATCAGGGGCACCTGGGTGGCTCAGTTGGTTGGGGTCTGCCTTCGGCCCAGGTCATGATCCCAGGGTCCTGGGATCGAGCCCCGCATCGGGCTCCCTACTTGGTGGGGAGCCTGCTTTTCCCTCTCCCTCTGCCTGCCGCTCCCCCTGCTTGTGCTCTCTGTTAAACAAGTAAATAAAATCTTTAAAAGAAAAACCAGAAGAGTCTCTTATAAAAAAAAAAGTGAAATCACAGAATAATGAAAAGATATTTTACTCACAGTCCTTCCACCTAAAGACAACCACTGTTAACATTTTAGTCTATTTCCACTTGTTCTTTTTTCCATGTAAAGTGGTGATTTCCTGAAATTATTTTCCAATCTACCCACTTTATTCCCTACTTTAATTCACTCACTTGAAAGCAGGACCCTTCAAGATGTTAATTACTCAAATGTAACTCCGGGTGGAGAGATGTGTCAAGGTTCCTCAGGGCCGGGCGCCTGGGTGGCTCAGTTGGTTAAGCGACTGCCTTCAGCTCAGGTTACGATCCTGGAGTCCCGGGATCGAGTCCCACATCGGGCTCCCTGCTCAGCAGGGAGTCTGCTTCTCCCTCTGACCCTCCTCCCTCTCATGCTGTCTCTCATTCTCTCTCTCACGAATAAAATCTTTAAAAAAAAAAAAAAAAAGGTTCCTCAGGGCCAGAAGAAAGCCAGAGGTGCCCTCAGTTCCAAAGTGACTGGCATTCACCTAGTGTTCCCATGCATTTTTTAAAGATGAAGAAAAATGCAATGTTTGTGCCAGGAGAAACACTTAAACAAGGGCACAAATTAAATGAGAAGCCTGTCCCTATCAGCTGGGTCCAATGCAGACAATGCAGGACAGTGAACTGTTCCAGTATGACTTGGGAACTGGCAACAAGACAGTAGATGTTTACCTTCCACGTTATAGGGGACCTACTGCATTCCTCCAGAGATTCAACTTTTGCTCTGTTCTCATTGTCCCAATCCCTTGCCAATAAGGAATTTTATAACACCTATAAGAAAACTAAGATCACATGGTGGAAATCTCCATCTCCAGATCTCTCAGCTACACAGACTGGCTCCCTCCTGGGGATCTTTAAGGCCTGCAGTTCCCTCATCTGCAGAAATGATAGGGCTGCCAGATCCCATCCTGGTAATAAGGGCTACTAATATTCCCTTTTTTTTTTTTTTTTTTAAGTAGACTCCATGCCCAGCGTGGAACCCAACGTGGAGTTTAAACTCACAACCCTGAGATCAAGACCTGAGCAGAGGGGCGGCCGGTGGCTCAGTCGTTAAGCGTCTGCCTTCGGCTCAGGTCATGATCCCAGGGTCCTGGGATCGAGCCCTGCATCGGGCTCCCTGCTCCGCAGGAAGCCTGCTTCTCCCTCTCCCACTCCCCCTGCTTGTGTTCCCTCTCTCGCTGTGCCTCTCTCTGTCAAATAAATAAATAAAATCTTTAAAAAATAAGAGAAAAAAAAAGACCTGAGCTGAGATCAAGAGTTGGACGCCTAACCGACTGAGCCACCCAGGCGCCCCAGGGCTCCAAATATACTTATAAAGCTGGTAGGGATTTTATAAACTGCAGTAGATAACAAAATGTTCATCCTCTTTCCCAGTTGTAGGAGGCAGAGGGAGGGCTAACAAGTTAAAACCATCCATCCTCAAACTGAGGCAGTGAACCTGGTACCAAATGGCTAGAGAGTGAAAGGGAAAAAGTGTAATTCCTATTCTGTGCCAGGAATTATACTCTAATTACACTACATTTAAT